TAGGAGTGTCTCCTCTCTCTCCGAATCCACGCCAGCATTTGGTATTTGGAGGGACTTTTGATAAAGGCCATTCTCACTGGCAGATTAAGTGATATCTCATTGTGGTTGGGGGGGGGGGGTTTGCATTGTTCCCTGGATGATTAGGATGTGAGCATTTTTGTCATATGGGTTTGTGGGGCCATTCTTCTGTCTTCTTTAGCAAAAATTTCTGTTTTCAAGTTCCTGGTTGGCCACGTCTTGGTTAATAGCGGGTGTATTTGATTTTTTTCTTGCTGGATTTTTGTGAGTTCTAAGTATATTCTAGTTATCAGCCCCCTTGATCGGAATGCATAGGATGCAAAAATTGTCTCCCATTCTGTAGGTTGTCTGTTTACTTTCGGATGACTGGTTTCTTTGGCTGCTGCAAGAAGCTTTTAAGTGTTGATCAGGGTCCCATTATTTATTTTTGTTGCTGCTGCTGATTGCTTTGCCTTTAGGGACTGTCTCATAAACTCTTGCCGGTAGGGCCGATGTTCTTAGGGGAGAGTGTTTCCAACATTTTCCTCTAGAATTGCTAATAGTTTCATTACCTTAGGGTTGTAAGTCTGTGTAGTCCAGCGGCCCCTCAAGTCTCAGTGGTAGTAGCTTTATGGTAAAGTCACCTCTCTGCACTCATCAATCCATTCATTTTCTCAACAATTTTTTTTTTTTTTTTGAGACAAGGTCTCACTCTGTCGCCTGGGCTAGAGTGCTGTGGTGTCATCACAGCTCACTGCAACCTCCAACGCCTGGGCTCAAGTGATCCTCCTGCCTTAGCCTCCTAAATAGCTGGGACTTAGGCATGTGCCACCATGTCCAGGGGGTCTTGATCTTGCTCAGACTGGTCAAGAAATATTTCCTGTTCATCTACTATTTGCCATATAGGGGATAGCAATGAAAATATCATTGTCTACAATTCTGATGTGTCATTGTTGTTGTAAATGAAGAGTCTTTAATATGTTTCTGTTTCATTTGTCTATCTTTGCACCAGTGCTACACTGTTGTAATTACCGTAGATTTATAATGACTCTTCGTGTTTTGCATGTGGATATTTTCACCTTGTTTTCATTCAAGATTGTATTTGCTACTTTTGGCCATTTGCTTTCCCATATAAATTTTTTTTTTTTTTTTTTTTTTTTTTGAGACAGAGTCTCGCTTTGTTGTCCAGGCTAGAGTGAGTGCCGTGGCGTCAGCCTAGCTCACAGCAACCTCAAACTCCTGGGCTCGAGTGATTCTTCTGCCTCAGCCTCCCGAGTAGCTGGGACCACAGGCATGCGCCACCATGCCCGGCTAATTTTTTATATATATATCAGTTGGCCAATTAATTTCTTTCTATTTATAGTAGAGACGGGGTCTCGCTCTTGCTCAGGCTGGTTTTGAACTCCTGACCTTGAGCAATCCGCCTGCCTCGGCCTCCCAAGAGCTAGGATTACAGGCGTGAGCCACAGCGCCCGGCTCATATAAATTCTAGAATTAATTTATTGATTTTCCTAACAAATCCTATTGATACCTTACTTCTATTATATAGAGTCTATAGATCAATTTGTGAAGAATATCTTTACAATTATTGTTAGAGGCAAGGACCCTCAAAGACCCTCAACTCCCCTATGACTCGTCCTACGCACGGGCTTCGCCCTGGAAAATTCCAGCTATAGCTCCGAGAAGAATGCATTCCATGACGTGCTGACCACGGAATGCTCCAGGGAGTACTGACTGCAATTGTTCCCGACCACCTGCCAGGTTGGGGTTGAGTAATCAGTCACAAACAGCTTTGATACCGATAAGACGATGATTGGGGCTGATTAGCCCAAACCCAAGACTCATCGTCACCCCACTCTATTTTTCTGTTTCTACTTCCTTGTTTCTGTATGCTTATAAAACCTACTAAGAATCCAAGTAAAGTAGACCTTGACAACCCTTTGCTTGGACTCGTTCCTTTCTCTCGCCCATCTCTTTCAGGCACGGTCCCCCTTGACCCCACGAGTAACAGAAGGTCCCTCGGGTCGGGACAAATTATCTTCCAATCTATGAATATAGTATAGTCTCCCAGTTATTTGTCTTTTAAAACTTCTGTCAATAATGTATATTTTGTGTTTAGAAATATTATATCATTAGGGCGTTATATCTTTTTTATAGCAAGTATTATTTAAATAAATTATACAAGGCAGCGGTAGCTTTTTAAAAATCAAGTACTAATACTTACCCATGTTTTTGTTTACTCGAAATGTTATATCAGTTGTAAAAACCATCTCCTGTTACCAAGGAAAAAAGCAGAAAACTTACTGAATTTAATACTTTAAAAAAGTCCCAATTCTTAAGGTAAATAATATCTGAAGTAGAAAATATGCAAATTTTAACGTTGTTTTTATGGTTTATGTACATATATTATCTGGCCTCTTTTATAGGAAACCCACCTAGAAGTTTGTCACTTTCATTAAGCATTATAAATAAAGGCAAGAGCAAAATGCCCTCAATAAAAATATTGTATGCAACAATTATAAATATCAGAGATGTTTTTTGGTGATTGACAGTTATCTGCTACACAATAGAAAACAAAATACATTTGCTGGGTCTTTCAGATTACAGCTGCCCAGTGGCATCCAAAATACAATTTCTCATAAATATAAGCTGCAGTAAAATCCACTTAATAATTAGTTTACATTCATCCTTTTTTCCCCTTTTATTCCTTTTCTCTTCCTGTTCCATCTCACAGTGACACTATGTTATTAAAAGCATTAAGTATTGGGCATTTATGCCTCAAATGAAGACATCATGAGTACTTTAAAGTGCTGTACAGCTCTCCTATAAAAATGATGGTTTGTGGTCATAATGACCTCAAAAGGTAATTATATTCAAATACTCTGACATATGGTTTTTTAAGTTAGGCAAATGTGAAATGCTGAAAATTATAAACAGCCATTCCCTGTGTAAGTTTACAGTACAGCAAAACTGAGGCGATGGATCTTCCTTTTCCATTAACACAGCCAGCGCACAGGATGCATACCGAATCAAAGAACTTTGGAGATACAAATGCAAAGAAAGCAATACCTTTGCCAAGTCACGAAAGTTTGCCAAATCAACATAGGGGTGGGCTGATGGAATCAATGGATTGTCTCAGCGAGGCCAAAGATTGCCAGTGGCATGCATTTCAGGAAATAAACAGGAAACAGTGTTTGGAAAGTACTGGATTGTGTAGCCTCCAAGAAAATAGGTCCCAAGTCAGCTCTCATATCTTTAGCTCCTAAATAATACCTGGCTCACTGCAGGTGGCCAGTAGTGTCTGCTGGACTGAAGGTAATGTTGTGGAGTGAGTGGTTGTCTTGGTCTGGTTAAAACACTCATTTTCTACCTACTCTGCATGCTGCAGTCTTGGGCCTCTTTGTTGGGGAATGAAGTCAGTGAAGACGAATAGCTGAAATGCACTGTGACCGACAAGGACAAAATGACCAAGCACTGGGCCAAGAACACCAATAATGCGCAATTAAGGCAGGTTAAACACAATTTTATTTGTTCCTCAGGCTTCTCTCTTGGAGGCAGGTATTGTTTTTCCTCTTTGCCTTTGTTCACTCTCTGACTCATTTTGAGTCCTCCTCCACCTGCTGCCAAGTATACACAGTGCCCTTTTCTCATCCCAAATTGGGGTGGCTCCTCCCTACAACCTACCACCTACCCTGCTCCTGGGCCACACTTCACATATTCAATTTATCTGCATGTTCTTTTTTTTTGAGACAAGAGTCTCACTTTCTTGCCTGGGCTAGAGTGCTGTGGGGTCAGCCTAGCTCACAGCAACCTCAAACTCCTGGGCTTGAGTGATCCTCCTGCCTGAGCCTCCCAAGTAGCTGGGACTACAGGCATGCACCACCATGCCTGGCTAATTTTTTCTATATATTTTTAGTTGGGCCAATTAATTTCTTTCTATTTTTTTTTAGTAGAGACAGAGTCTCGCTCTTGCTCAGGCTGGTTTCAAACTCCTGAGCTCAAATGATCAGCCCGCCTCACCTGAATGTTTTTTTCTTCTGAATTTCTGGGTTCCTATGTATAAAAAGGCTGGCCTAAGATTTGTATGCTATGCTGCCTTTTTCTTTATTTGAGGTGAGAGGCATGGGAGACATGGGTGAGAAAGTTATATAAATAAAACTTTTATGAAGTACACAACAAACATTGGGTAAAATTTATAGCACAGGTAATTACTCACAGGCATGCACATTTGTGGGTTGCTTCCTCAGAGTCCATTCACCCCTTATTCTGCTAATGGGACCCTGATATTCCACTGGAGTATTTTCCCTCTCAGCCCTTCGAGGGATGCTGAGCTAAATTCCAGCTCCAGAGCCGAAATGAGGGTCGAAGCCAATCCTACCCTCCCGGCTACAGCAGTGGTTGAGAGTTGGGTGTGAGCTTTCTTTTGGGTACTAGACACAAAACCCGAGACTCAAGCAAGAACTAGTGGAAGAGCCCTTTCTTCCTCTGAAAGGGGACAAACTGCTGAGATGTGGCTATACGAGGGCATGCCCTGGTAGCCAAGGGACCACCTTGTGTGGACTCAGGATAAAGTGGACTCTGCAAAGGGAGGGCAGAGAATCAGCAAGAAACCACATCTGTGGTGACTCCAAGTGGCTGGATGGACACTTAAAACTAGCAATATGTCTGGACTCTCAGTTTTGAGAGCCCATAGATTCCTCAGGTCTATCTGAGTCTGCTTTTCCGATACCTGCAATCCAGAGTTCTAGCCCATAAACTCATAACCCCACTGCCCAGAAAGAACAAGTTGACATTTTTAGTTTATTTCTTCCCATATATTTTAATGCATCTATATACATAATCAGCTTCCTTTACATTTTTACTTTTATAAAATTGAGAAAATATATACTCTTCCAAAGTATTTCGGTTATTAATACTGTTAACAATATTATCATCAAATCTATCGTGATCATTTTTAGTTACTATCTACTATTCCATTCTAGGAATATACCATAATTTAACAAATTTCCTATTTAGGAACATTTACACATTTTCTGTTTTTCTATTATAAACATTCATTTTATACACTAGTTTTATTACTTCTTTAGGATAAATTCCTAGAAGTACAGTTGCTGGGTCACAGAATATATACACTCTTCTGGCTTTCTATCTTACCAAATTGTCCTCTAAAGGAACATCAAATTTATATGAAGTTCTTCTCGGCTAGAAATACCTAGTGGTTTTGCTTTCCTGATTGACAGAATAGCCAACCATTAAAATTAACCTTGAAAATCTGACAGGAATGAGTTGTTCTTGAGGCTGACACAGCACCTTTCAATTAGTCTAACAAAGCTGGTTTTTCTACAAGCAATGTAAGAGACTGCTGGTTTTTTGTTTGTTTTTCCAGTTGAACACCAGATAAATTCAGTGACTTGCTTTGAGAGGACATCTTATGTGAAAAATACCTGTCTTTGAACACTGGAATCACACTCAGGAAGACGAAATGCACAAACTATGATAAGTACAAGGGAATAGAGACCAGTTTGAAGGAACGGCAGATCCAAACTTCCACAGAACACTCGTCCAATACATACATACACTGAGAACACTGGAACGACAGAACGGCATACTTTACGAGAACTATTGACTTTCTCACTTTTGCTCAGCATACATACAGTTGAACCCACAAAACGAAATGCTCACAGGATGTGACTGGACCCTCTGCAGCAATGAGAGGGACTTGGGATACTTTGCTTTATAAAAACATTGATTGTAATTATTTTCAACAGAATGGTACAAAAATATTAAATCAGTTCAGCTCCTCGTTCTTTTCACATTCAAACAGACTTTAACATGAGCAAGTTCTTAATGCACCACAATGGAAGTTATGATTCCATACCTTTTCCTCTGGCCACTGTACATCCTTTATTAAACATCAATACTGAGAATAGCTTTACTGACACATGTATATAAGTGCAACCAAACTGATATAAAAAGGACAAGAAATAGTAACCTTTGCTTAACTTTCTTCTGAGTCTTCCGAGTCTATTCTGCCTCCCTCACTGTCACTGTAAAAGATGTCTTTAAGCAGGAAAACTTGCTTGGGTGCTGCAGGAGTCTGGATTTTATTGCATTTTGTCTCCATCTTCTTTTTTAACTTTTCTTTAAATAAAGGTAGTCTAGTCTCATAAAGATAGTCGATGATCTCTACAGAAAAGAAATTTAATTTTGAATTTATTTGTCTGTACAAAGCCTCTTAACAACGCCAAAGGATACAGGATAACGACACCGCACCACTCCTGTTGTTACTATGTCTGAGGTCCCAAACTAGTTGGTTTATTCATATTTACTTATTCAATCCTCACAAAAATCCTATAAGGTAGGCACTATTTTTAATGCTTTTTTTTTTTCGAGACAGAGTCTCACTTTGTTGCCCAGGCTAGAGTGAGTGCCATGGCATCAGCCTAGCTCACAAAACCTCAAACTCCTGGGCTCAAGTAATCCTGGTGCCTCAGCCTCCCAAGTAGCTGGGATTATAGGCATGCGCCACCATGCCTGGCTAATTTTTTCTATATATATTAGTTGGCCAATTAATTTCTTTCTATTTATAGTAGAGACAGGGTCTCACTCTTGCTCAGGCTAGTTTCAAACTCCTGACCTCGAGCAATCCTCCCGCCTTGGCCTCCCAGAGTGCTAGGATTACAGGTATGAGCCACCGTGCCTGGCCTAATGCATTTTTCAAATGAGGAAACAAAGGCATAAAGACGTGAAGAAACTTGCCCAAGGTCATGGGGTTAATAAGGATTCAAACCTAGGCAGTGAACACAAAGGATTTCGTCACACACTGCCAGGTGCGACATCATCCAAACCAGTGGTGTAGGGCTGACCCCGAGAGACCTCTCGCTAAGCTTTTAGAGAAAGTCCAGACTCTGGACTCAGTCCTGAGATTAGTATTCGGGAGGTCTAGGATGAGGCCCAGGAATCTGCATTTTTAACGAGTTGCTCACATAGCTATGAGGATCTGAGCTTGGGACTTATATATCTAAACTACCCACAAATGGCTACAAAAAAGGAATCAAGCACCTTATACTCTTTCTGGAACAGTGTGTGTACACATGTGTACATACTACATGGTATGTGTGTGCACCCATGTGTCACATGTGGTATGTGCACATGGGTGTGTGCTAGTAACCATGATGGCAATACCAGCAGCACTCAGTCATCTACTAAGTCACTAAGTTTCAAGCCCTATGCTGAACATATCTTATCTCATTTAGTACTTTTGAAAGTCCCGTCAGGTAGGGGTTATAATTTGCCAGTTTTCGCCATTTTATTTTATTTTATTTTGAGACAAGAGTCTCACTTTGTTGCTGGGCTAGAGTGCCATGGCATCAGCCTAGCTCACAGCAACCTCAAACTCCTGGGCTCAAGTGATCCTCCTGCCTCAGCCTCCCAAGTAGCTGGGACTACGGGCATGTGCCACCCTGCCCGGCTGATTTTTTCTATATATTTTTAGTTGGCCAATTAATTTCTTTCTATTATTAGTAGAGACGGGGTCTCGCTTTTGCTCAGGCTGGTTTCGAACTGCTGACCTTGAGGTATCCACCCGCCTCGGCCTCCCAGAGTGCTAGGATTACAGGCGTGAGCCACCTCGCCCGGGCCCGTTTTCACCATTTTACAGTTGAGAAAGCTGAGGCTCCAAGAAGTTAAAGGCCCTTGCCCAGGTGACTCACACGACCAGCAAGTGGCACCAAAAGTCGTGTTAACGGTTACAAACCTCAAGAATACTGACCTGGAAAAGTCTTCTTCTGCCAAAAGGGAACATAGGTAGCTTTCAGCTTGTAAAATTTAGTTTGAACATAGGATGGAGGAACATCACTTTAGAAAAGATTTAAAAAAAAGTAAGTTTAAAAATTTATCATTTCAGTGCTGTGCAGTAAGTACATTTATTAAGGTGAGGTCTAGAGATACAAGTAGTTTTCTCATCTGGAACACGAAATCATTATGTGATTTCACCATTAACATGTGATAAAAATACGACACATATGAGATGCTGACCTTGCACTTGGCACTACCCTCAGTGCTTTACACAATAGATCGTCACGAAACCTCAATGGCAGAGCGGCTACTCTTCTCCCTCATTCAGGAGATGAGGAAACTGAAGCCCAGAAGTTGCCCGAGACCACACAGCTATTAATATTAAGGGATGGAGCTGGGACCTCAAGTGGCTCATCTGGCCCAGACCCCGCACCCATCACACTGTGGATACCTAATACTTGTCAGAATTCAAAGGCAGGTGCTCCCTGATTTTTATCTTGCAAAGCTAAAACAAGCAGACGCTTATGATGTTTTGCTACATTTTCAATTACAATTACATTTCAATGAACAATAAGTGGGACAGAAACATTTTCAATTTACAATTAGAGAGGGAAACAACTAAATCTTAAATTGTTTTTTAAAGTAAAAATCATTAAACTTTCGGGACACATTTTCTTAATAAAAGCATGTCTTTTTTTCAATAATTAATCTGGTTACCGACCCCCCCCCCCCCCCGCCTGCAGCCGCCTAACCAGTCTAAACCCTTCCTGATGGACCAAGAGCAATGTCACACCAGCAGCCATACTTCTGAAAGCCGGCCAGGCTGCAGGAGCTTCACGCCACCATCCACCTGTCAAGACTAAGGGCCAAACAATCCCTCCGCATGCTAGCCTGCATTCTTCCAAACTGTCAACACCGGCAAGGGCAAAGGCAGAAGAACCTTACAGATGAAAAGACACTCAGAATCGCCTGGGAGCTCTGGAAAATCCTAGCATCCAGGCTCCACACCAGATCAATTCCATTATCCTCTCTGGGTGTGGCACTGGTATCTTTAAAAAGTTCCCCAGATGATATCAACGTGCAAGCTGGCCTGAGAATCACTGAGCTAGAGAATTGGTAGAGTGTCAGAGCTCCAAATTGGGTACACAGAGGTAACTGGAAATCCCGTGATCTTTGGAGAATGTGCAATGATCTACTTGACACACACAAAAAAGAAGAAAAATGAAAACCATACCTAATTAATGATCTATTTAATGTCATGAAAACCTTATCTACTTAGCAGCTCAGAACCTTTAAGTAGCTTGCTTCTTAAACTTGGCTTTTACTCTGCACTGTATATCGAATTGGTTTCCTAGCCAACAGGAGGAATCTTAACCACAGCTTACATAAAATTCCATAGGCAGCATCAATTTCAGTCCTGTCTTTAAAATCCGATAGGCAGTCATTTATAAAAAGTCATCTTTATCTTTTAATTAGCTTAATATTAAATAAATGGTCTTACCCTACAGCATTAGCAAGATCTTCCCAGTCTATTTCATTAGCATCTTCTACATTTACTTCATACAATCTACGAGAAAAAATAAAAATTAAATTTTTAAGCAAAAATCAGCACGATGGACATCTTCATGGACTCCTGGAATATCAAGAGCTAGAGGGTGCCAGCACTTTCACCCTGTGCCAGCTCCCTCATTATACCCACAGTGAGGTCACCTTTCCTAGCCCAAGGTTACTCCAAGGTCACTGAGTTAATGGGCTACGGAGACGGGCTGAGAAAACGTCTCTCTTCCGCCTGAGCCCTTTGTGTCTCCCACCAAACCACGCTGCTCTCTCACAGTGAAAAACACAACTTTGCCCTTCAACACAGACACATCGTAATAGTATACCTGTACCCATCACTTACTATGTGACAGACGCTGTGTTAAGACCTTTATGTGCACGAATTCACTTACGGTAACCCTCGCCACCAACTGATGAGGTCAGAGGGATCAGCCCCATTTCATAGACAAAGATATGGTGCTGGCCGGGTGCGGTGGCTCACGCCTGTAATCCTAGCACTCTGGGGTGGCTGAGGTGGGAGGATCACTTGAGGTCAGGAGTTCCAGACCAGCCTGAGCAAGAGCGAGACCCCATCTCTACTAAAATTAGAAATATGAGCTGGGTGTTGTGGTGTGCCCCTGTAGTCTCAGCTACTTGGGAGGCTGAGGCAGGAGGATCGCTTGAGCCCAGGAGTTTGAGGTTGTAGTGAGCTACGATGATGCCACTGACTCTAGCTGGGGTGACAGAGCAAGACCCTGTCTCAAAAATATAAAATATAATAAATAAATAAATAAAATAGTCCTGTATCTCCCTTTCTCTTATAACACTCTAGACACTTCGGGGAGGACTCTGCATGGACTAGGTACTCAAAGACAAAACCAAAGACCAAGCAACAGTGGATACCAACAAACTTGTACTGGAGAACAGAAGGGCTTTGTCTGAATTATTTACCTCTACTTTCCAATGGATATAAATAACTCTTATCCATACTGAAAGATTGAAAGACTAAAATAACTACGTTTATTGAGTACATATATGTTTTACACACATTATTTCATTTTATCCGTCTGACAACACTATGAGGTAGACACCATTACGATCCTCATTTTAGATTAATAAACTTAGAAAGGTAGGTCGCATGCCCACAGTAATACATGTAGAAAGTGCCAGAACAGGGCTTTGAACCTTGGCAATCTCACTGCAGAGTCCGCAGCACTAGCAACTACTCTTTGGCCAGAGAGCAGAACAGTTAAAACAGCATCCATTTCTATTCCCGCACCTTTCAATGAGGTTGATTTTGGCTTGCAGGGCATTAATTCCATGGTATATATTCCCACCATTAGTCATCCTCTTGGTTAGAATTTCCATCCTACATTAAAAGAAAGAAAAATACAGTCTACTTTTGGGGCTAAAGTTTCTGTTAACATTTCATATATTTTTATCATTTAAATTGCCCTCACTCAGAACCAATTTCTAACTCTTCAACTCAACATTGCTAACATTTAACACCATCAAGAATATACCTATTTTTTTAAAAAGTGCGAAGGGATAAATAAAATGACAGAAAACCAATGATCATTGAAACTGGATGATGAATACTAAGAGTACTGTTTGTGTGTGTTATAAAATTTTCATAATAAAAAGTTTAAGAAAGGGAGAAAAAAGAATTGGCCTATTAGCTGGTGCTAGAGGACACTGACAACTCCATTTATTTTGACTGCTTATATGACAGACAAATATTGCTCTTAATACTGTCACTGGCTCTTGGAACACTAAATAAGACAAAATTTAGTAAGTAAATGATTTGATGATTCCTCTAATGCCCAAAGCTAATGGCTCAAGATTGTCTGGAGTTCCTAGTGACAGCATTGACCCAATGACAAATATTAAAAAAGCACTTATCTTGAATAGCAAAATTTGCCACAATCTGATTGACAGATCATTAGCTATTTATATTTACATACCTGATTACTGAGATATATGACACTTGTCAGATAATCAACATTGTTGTTCTTACCAACAGCCTCCCATGTTTACAGTTTTGAAATGTATCATCTGAGGTAATTCTGATGTTATAGGAGGTAAATATATGTTCAGGGTCAAGTTTCCTATTTTTCTCTTCAAAATTAAAATAGAAATCTTGCATGTTGTCTTAATTATGTTGATTCTGAAGTGGGACCACCCTTAATCATAATAATTTCCCTTTTTTAACACTGACGTATCATATTCCAGTTGAAGCTTATAACCCCCCTCTCCCTTCTTTTAGCTTAAAATATAGGGGTAGAAAGAGCTCTGGTTCCTTCATATCATACCCCAGTCAAATCTGTTCTTTGGGATTTATATCTCTGAGTGTAGTCTCATGTACCTACAACAGAACTGTAAGGCACATCAACAATGTACCCCAGGAGAGTCTGCTTTTAACATAAAATACGCCTACTGGATTTCATTTCTATCTGGTACTGAAAGAGCACTGGGTGTGCTTTGAGCTCAAGGTGTGGGTTGTGAGCCTGTAGAACCACCCGTTCTGCAGCTGCACATCTGGCTCAGCGACCCTGCAGGGCTTGGAAAAGCTACATTTGGCAAAGAAAGTGCAGCAGGATCAGGGCTGAAACTATCACTTTGTGACAGATGCAGCTAAGAGCACAACGGCCTCATTTCAGATGAAGACAGAGGATTCTAATAAAAAGCAAAATTGAGAGGCAGAGCTGTTACTGATCACCATGCTCCTGGGTTGCCTTCTGAACGTTTGTTTCATATTTTTTTAACACTGTAAACAGATAACTATCTGCTTTCACTAAAAACTTAGAAAGAGACAGAGTAAAGAAATCAGAAGTCAATATTCAGTATTGAGAGAGAGAGAGAGAGAATGATAATATAACTTACCACTTACTTTTACACTGCATCCAATTTCTGGTTTCCACTTTAGCTTCTACTTCTATCCAAGATATGCCCCTGTAAAGTCTTTCCCGAACAATTGACAGACGACCTTCGGGAGCTTCTTGGAGTCTGGGATCCACCTCATTTAACTCCTTGAGAGACATTTTCTTTAGAATCACTTCTTCAACAGCCTTGATTAGTTTCTGGGTTTCCTCCTTACTCCAAGCACCACGATTTCTTCCTATAGATATAAAAGGATGGTCTTGTAGTTGCTAATCTATTTGCTTTCAAACACAATATAAAAAAACCCCGAAATGCTAAATCAGGCACTTTTCCCAAGACAATGACTGACGTCTCAATCACACAAATGTAAAACAATCAAACATAAATACATGCAAATTAAAATGAAATTACTAAAATGGTCATGGATTCCTTTTAAGAACCAAAGCCAGAAATTATTAAATAATAAATTTAGTGGAAAGCAATATGGAGATATCTTAAAGCGATACAAGTGAATCTACCATTTGATCCAGCAATCCCATTGCTGGGCATCTATCCAAACGATTCAATGACACTCTACAAAAAAGACACCTGCACTCGAATGTTTATAGCAGCACAATTCATAATTGCAAGGCTGTGGAAACAGCCCAAGTGCCCATCAATCCAAGAATGGATTAATAAAATGTGGTATATGTATACCATGGAGTACTATTCAGCTCTAAGAAACAATGGTGATATAGCACATCTTATATTTTCCTGGTTAGAGCTGGAACCCATACTATTAAGTGAAGTTTCCCAAGAATGGAAAAACAAGCACCACATATACTCACCAGCAAATTGGTATTAACTGAACAGTACCTAAGTGGTCACATAGGTACTGCAGTAATAGGGTATTGGGCAGGGGGAAGGGGGGCGGGTATATACATATATAATGAGTGAGATGTGCACCATCTGGGAGATGGTCATGCTGGAGACTCAGACTTGTGGGGGGAGGGGGAGAAATGGGCATTTATTGAAACCTTAAAATCTGTACCCCCATAATATGCCGATATAAAAAAACAAAGTTCTTTCAAAAAAAATAAAAAATAAAAATAAATAAATAAATTTAAAAAAAAAAATTTTTTTTTCTATTTTTGTACAGACAAGGTCTGGCTATGTTGCCCAGGCTTGTTTTGAACTCCTCGCCTCAAGTGATCCTCCTGCCTCGGCCTCCCAAAGTACTGGGATTACAGGCATGAACTAATGTGCCTGGCTAGTAAGTCCTTTCTTAAAGCAACGGTTTTTTCAAACTTCAAAAATGTCGTTCTTCCTGTTTTCAAGAGCAATGTCTCCCGCATGATATTGTGAGGTTTCCAAATACTTTTCCTAAACATTTAATGGGAAAAAAATAATCACATGGTTTTTATGTACATGTCTCCCCACCAAGAGTTCCTAGTGTGCAATTAGCAGCCACAATGACACCAGCGCAGGAGTGGATGATTTAAGGCACCTGAGAATTTCTGAAGCCAGTCATCTACGCAGGGTGTCAAAAGCACCTAAGTTCACCCTTCCTTACTAGACACACGCACAGTCATGCTAAGTAAGAAAAGGGCCTCAAACTGGCACCTGCAAATGTTTTGGTTTGGCCCACAGAGTCTTATCTTTTTCCTTTAATAATAATTTGGATGAATATTTTAAAATTAAGAGATTTCTGAGAAAGAAAAAGGTATCTAGAGTTCACAAAATTTAAAAAGAAATTGCAGATTTTTGTTTTACTTCTTGGAAACTTTGAAGAACTGGCCGCAAGGCACTACCTGTGTGGCCAGGGTATGTGAGTCCCTGTGCTAAACAGTAACCTCAAGAACTGTCTTTTTTTTTTTTTTTCTGGGACAGGGTCTCAGTCTGTAGGCCAAGCTGGAGTGCAGTGGCCTGATCATAAGTCACAGCAGCCTGGAATGCCTGGGCTCAAGCAGTCCTTCTGTTTCGGCCTCCCCAGTAGCTGGGACTACAGGTGCACCCTACCACGCTCAGCTAATTTTTCTATTTTTCGCAGAGATGGGGTCTCGCTATGTTGCTCAGGCTGGGTCTTGAACTTCTGGCTTTAAGTGATCCTCCTACCTTGGCCTCCCAAAGTGGTACAATTACAGGTGTGAGCCACTGTGCCTGGCCAGGACTGTCATCTTAAAGTAATTTCAGATATTTTGATGTGAAGAATAAAACCAAGGAAACTTTTTGGGAAAGAGGGACAGGGGGTCACCAACATAGGTTTTGGGTAAAGCTGACTGAGCTGCACACCTCCCTCCCAGAGCCTTCCTTGCCACCATGGAAAAGTGACCGCCCCCACCCAGGCTACCCTACGCCCAGCTTCCTGGGATATTGGTCCACTTGGCAGAGACAGTCACATTGAAAGTTACTAAAGTTCATAGGTTACTGAACGGTGGTAAAAATCGGCCCAGTGGATGAAGGCTGCACGATTTCACTTAATACACAGGAAACAAAATGGATTAGTATGGAGAATGGCTAAAAAAAAAAAAAAAAAAAAACCACGATGATTTTCTCCAAAAACAGGCCTGCAGCGATTTCTAGCCCAGTCGTGGGCTAAACAAGGCCTGTCGGGCTTGTCCTTCACTGAGGAGGGCACTCGGGACCACCACTCACAAGGGACCACCACTTACGAGCACTGATCTGAGAGAACTTCAGGGCCACCGAGAGGCTACTTCGGGCCACCATCTCACCAATCTTTTTCCAGTCATTCCCGTGGAGGGAATGGTATCTCTGTAACTTCTCAGTATCTTCTTTGCTATACCTACGAGGAGGGAAGAACGTTTTACAAGTTTGAACTACGAGATTGGCAGCGCTGGTCTCATGGCAGCGGCGCAGTCGTGGGAAAAGCGCGGACTAGCCGTCAGGAAACCCGGTTCCAGCAGCAGGCCCACCAGCCGTCAGGAAACCCGGGTCCAGCAGCAGGCCCACCAGCGACCGGAGACAGGCATTTCCTGTCTGCATCTCGGTGGGGTCGTCCTGTCAGTCAGTCACCAGCGTCACAGGCCAGAGGTCTGGCTCAGTCACACAGCGGCCGGAGTAAACCGTCTCTTAGCCTCTCCTTGCCCAGAGCCTCCTCGCCTGGGCGGAAACAGCCTTCCTGCCCCCGCCCCAGATGCAGTTTAAACAGCACGGCTTCGGGGACACGTCCCTGCCGGCCTGAGCCTAGGGTCCCCGTTGTTCACACCTAGAGAACACTGTGCTTCTCCCGCACAGCCCTGTCCCGACCTGCAATGACACACGCACGGTCTCGTCCTCTACACTAGCACCCCTAAAGAAACAGCAGGTGAGCCACACGTGGATTTTAGATTTTCCAGTAGTCATAGGAAAATTCATTTTAATTTAGTTTTAATGAAAGTAACTTTAAGAATATATTTCATTTAATCCAATGTGTTAAAAATGATCTCATTACAACACGCCATTCACATCAAAAAGTATTTAAAAGATATTTTTTTTTTTTTTTTGAGACAGAGTCTCGCTTTGTTGCCCAGGCTAGAGTGAGTGCCATGGCGTCAGCCTAGCTCACAGCAACCTCAAACTACTGGGCTCAAGCAATCCTCCTGCCTCAGCCTCCCAAGTAGCTGGGACTACAGGCATTCGCCACCATGCCCGGCTAATTTTTTGTATATATTAGTTGGCCAATTAATTTCTTTCTATTTATAGTAGAGACGGGGTCTCGCTCTTGCTCAGGCTGGTTTCGAACTCCTGACCTTGAGCAATCCGCCCGCCTCGGCCTCCCATAGAGCTAGGATTACAGGCGTGAGCCACCGCGCCCGGCCTAAAAGATATTTTACATTCTGTTCTTCATATCAAGCCTTCAAAGTCCAGTGTGTGTTTTACTTTCACAGCACATCTCAACTTGCACTAACCATGTTTCAAGTGCATAACAGCCACTGGCGGCTGGGCACCCTACTGGATGGCACAGTTCTAGAAGGGAAATCTGGCAAGGGCGGAGATCTTGTTGGCTCTGTACACCATGTCATTGATAATGCTCGGCAGACAACAGGCATTCCGTACACGTGCAACAAATGGCTTAATGTAAGCGTGTAACTATTTAAGGAATTTAAAGTGCATCCATCACATAGAAAAACAAATATATTAAAGTACTATTTGCTGGCAAATTAATAAACTTCTCTTTACTTCTCAAAAAAAAATAAAGTACTAAGAAAGCACTACTATATCATAAATTGATTTTGAGATTAAACACCTTAAATATTTAGGTAAAGAAAGACCAATCTTGGCCGGGCGCGGTGGCTCACGCCTGTAATCCTAGCTCTCTGGGAGGCCGAGGCGGGCGGATTGCTTGAGGTCAGGAGTTCGAAACCAGCCTGAGCAAGAGCGAGACCCCGTCTCTACTATAAATAGAAAGAAACTAATTGGCCAACTAATATATATAGAAAAAATTAGCCGGGCATGGTGGCGCATGCCTGTAGTCCCAGCTACTTGGGAGGCTGAGACAGAAGGATCGCTTGAGCCCAGGAGTTTGAGGTTGCTGTGAGCTAGGCTGACGCCACGGCACTCACTCTAGCATGGGCAACAAAGTGAGACTCTGTCTCAAAAAAAAAAAAAAAAAAAAAAAGAAAGACCAATCTTTATAACATCCTAAGATTCTTAAACCTTAATGCAGGGGGTGGGGAACAGTGGTTCAACAAGGCAACAACAACTCTAGTAAAATACGAACAATTTCTGATGATATTGATCTGTAACTACTTCAGGACAATAACATCCTTTTTTTCTCAGAAATTTCTATATAAACGCAGAGTGCGTAAATGAAGACTCGCTATTCCCCACTATTAAGAATCATGGGGATCAAAAGGGAATACTTCCTAGTAGTTTTCCTCTCAAGGCAACCAGTCTTTCTGAGATTAAAAAAAAAACGTAGACACCCTTGAAGCAGCAGAAAAGAGGAAGAGAGAAATCAAGTGTGCCCAAACAAGGAAACAGGTGCGCTGAGTTCCTAAGCCACTCAGAGCCTTAAAATTCTTTTATTTTTGACTTTCTACTTTTTTCAGTCAAGAATTCCTTAAGTTGGAAAAATATTCTAAGGGTAAATCATCACTACAACACAAGTAATGCAGCACAAATGAATGAACTTTTTATTATTAGAATGACTTTTATTATTCTAAAAATGTCATTCCCCTATGTGTGCAACAGGTAGAAAAGTATGTTTTCTCAGCTGCCACCCTAAATTCCCCAAAAGCAAATGTCATCTAAAATGTCACCTTTAGTGGATTTTCTTAAAGTTCTGTTCACAACTAACTGTGGGGTTTGAGAAAGAAGGATAGGGCAGGTCTCAGTCTGTCTGTGTGAACTTTCCTCACCTAGTGTTGATTTCTCTCTTTTAATTAATTGAATCTCCCTTAAGCTTAGAAGTTGATTTCTTTCTGTAACATTTTAAAAAAGAAACAAGGTTGATTCAATGTCAGAAGTTTAGGGAACATGTATGTCTTGGTTTAAAATTACACAGTCAAGCAGAACTCTGCTGACGCTGCTAGAAGATTGACTAAACTTGCTTCCCAGAGTGAGATCAAGGAGTGGAGCTGATGAGCTGTTTATTAGGCAGGTAGAGATGACAACTTCCTGCTGACACTTCTGTCACTGAGCAGGGTGCTAACCCACTGCCAACACTTCCTCTGTGTCTAGGTTTTTTTTTTTAACTTGCAATGTTGGAAACAAATTATAATTGGATATTTTATTTGGAAAAAAGGGAGGAGAGAATGCCAACCACCACATTAAGCACTGTGGATTGACGCTGCTGAACTGCACTTCCACAAGGAAACACTAGTGTTTACCTCTCCTGCAAACATTTACTGAAAACCAAAGAATTGTGCTAAGTGCTGAAGGGAACATCGTGTCAGGGAGAAATGCTTGGATTCATCAGGAGCTTACAACGTAGTAGGGAACAGAGAAAACAGGAGTAATAGCAAGAGAGACAGAGTGTGTGGAGTGCTAAAACAGAAGTAGAAAGAAAAAGCTGAGGATTTAGGGAAGAGAAGATCACATAAAGGTTTATGAAAGACATGGAAATTGAAATGGGCCTTGAAGACAGACATCTGACAACAAATACACTATCTAACTTCACACGCAAAAATCTTCATTCTTGGCCGGGCGCTGTGGCTCACGCCTGTAATCCTAGCTCTTGGGAGGCCGAGGCGGGCGGATTGCTCAAGGTCAGGAGTTCAAAACCAGCCTGAGCAAGAGCGAGACCCCGTCTCTACTATAAATAGAAAGAAATTAATTGGCCAACTGATATATATATAAAAAAATTAGCCGGGCATGGTGGCGCATGCCTGTAGTCCCAGCTACTCGGGAGGCTGAGGCAGAAGGATCGCTCGAGCCCAGGAGTTTGAGGTTGCTGTGAGCTAGGCTGACGCCACGGCACTCACTCTAGCCTGGACAACAAAGCGAGACTCTGTCTCAAAAAAAAAAAAAAAAAAAAAAAATCTTCATTCTTTACTTCCAATCCATTTCTGTGGATATTTTGATTTATAGTGTTGGCAAAGACAAGAGAAATGTTCTGTCCCAAGCTGCTAAGGCTTTTTTCTTACCTGCCTTTGTAATTATAGACATCAAACATCTTCTTTGCTCGATAGTATACTAGCTTCCAGGGTCGGGCGATGCCTTTACCTACAGTCAGAAGAACGGTAATCAGAGGGGCTCGCAGAGCCTGGCACAAAATGAAGTCACAATATAAAAGAACCCAGAACAGCCCTTTCAAACAACACTAACTATCCTAAACCCCAGGTTACAGTTGGGGGTTCCTGTGTCCTGTAGAAAGCTGTCTTGGAGAGCAGAGGTCCACCATCACCAGTTTCCCTGGAATCGTCAGAAACTCGTGCTTAGTACCTGAGCCTCCAGCTTCTGGTCTACTCAATTCATGGGAAAGACCCTTATAAGGCAAGGCGATTTTAACCTAATTTGAATTAAGAGGAAGGGAGTGCTAAGGTGGAGAACACATGCTAAGAGCTCTTGACAAGGTGAACAAAATCCCTCCAAACAGCTTTTCTCACTTTCCCACTCTAAGGATGAAATAATCCCTCCACAGGGCTCACGACCCCGTTTTCCTTTGTACATTCCACCGAACTCCTCAGGAATGATCCTCTTTAAATTCAAGAGGTTTCCCTTCTCTCTGATCCCACGTGACTTCACACCCTCTGACTCCCAAGCAGGATGGTTCCAGCTACAAACCACACACACGGCTACACCGGAAAAACATAGGAGATCATGGTGCGTAGGATGTGCTCTGTTTAGCACACACAAAAAATAAAGGATGGAAGAGAGACCAGAACCATAATTATTGCCAAGCAGGAACGACAGAAGTTGATCGTTTAATTTTTCACGAAGCCCATGAAAGCACCGTACTTGGGAGACATGGCCACATTCCAAATCCCCAAAAGCAGACTGGGAATCCGAGGCTATCTGCACTGCAGCAGTTAGCACGGGCCAGGCACTGTGCGGGACACTGGCTATGGGTTACCGTGTTTGAGGCTGGAAGGCATTGGACGGTCAAAGGGTGAGTATTTCTAAACTTACCAATGTGCAATCTAAACGAGTATTTCCTTTTTAAGTCGGTGATGGTGGATTTTTCCTCTGGGTATCTGTCCGTATGCAGTAGCTTGTCTGCGGTCTCGATTCCCGTCAGGGACAGGAATTCTTGCACGTTTTTCTCTAACTGCTGATTTTCCTTGGCAGAAAACTTGCCAAATTTAATAGTGACACCTAGGATTGGGGGCGGGGAGAAAAAGTACGTACAGTCAACAACAAATAAAAGCAAACACAGTGCTGGGTTTTCCACCAGTGACTGCAGCCTGAGGGCACAGCGCCGGCCGCCTCCCTGCCGGGCAGCAGCCCCTGTCCCTGCACCTGCCGTTGCTCTCGGTCTCCACTGACGGACTCAACCTTTTCTTCAGGGAAAGGTTCAGCCCAAGCTACACTTCTGCTCCCAATGTCTGCCCTGGGCACCCTATTCCAAAGTGACCCTTCCTGCTTCATCAGTCTCATTTTAAAATAGTCTTAAAATATTTATTTATTTTTTGAGACAGAGTCTCTACTCTGTTGCCCAGGATAGAGTGCTGTGGTGTCAGCCTAGCTGATGGCAACCTCAAACTCCTGGGCTCAAGCAATCCTCCTGCCTCAGCCTCCCAAGTAGCTGGGACTACAGGCATGCGCCACCATGCCCAGCTAATTTTTTCTATATATTTTTAGTTGGCCAATTAATTTCTTTCTATTTTTAGTAGAGATGGGGTCTTGCTCTTGCTCAGGCTGGTTTTGAACTCCTGACCTTGAGCGATCCACCAGTCTCGGCCTCCCACAGTGCTAGGATTACAGGCGTGAGCCACCGCGCCCGGCCCAATAAGTAACATTTATTCATTAAAAATTCAAGCAGCATTGAAACGACAGTTTAGAAGAAGCCCCACTTTACTCCTCTCTGCCACACGCTTCCCCCGAGGCAGGACATCGACCAGGGTGGCAGGAACAGGGAGGCTTAAGCACATTTCCTGTGCCTGTGTGTTGTGGGGAGGGTAACAAACGCCAGTGTGGGTTACATTCTCTTCCTCTTCATGTGTCATTGTGTTGCGACTGTGTCATGTGGTACTTTTTTCTGCTCTAGGCTTATTTTAAAACTATCTTTTACAAAACACATACTCATAAAAATGTCAACACAATATACCGAAAAACAGGATCATTGCATACTGCTCTGTAATTGTGGGTGTGGTGCTTCTTGGTTTTTTTGCTCAATTTGTCTGTTTTCTGAACTAATCTCTTCAACCTGATTAATTCCACAGAGCTAGGACATCTCTTTTCACTTTTTTAAATGGCCAGCAGTATCAGGCCTCACGCAGCAGGTAGTAAATACCGCTCATTGGTAGCACACAGCCTTAAAGGTATAGCTTATTCTTAAATCCAGTGAGCTTTCTGGGAGGTTCTTGTAACACTGAAACCAAGGCCACTACAACCAGCTCACCTGCAAATTAATGTGGTGGGGAAGGAAACTACACCTCATTAAAGATGATGATTTTAATTTGACAGCATTTTAATTTTACTTAACTTCTATATCCTTCTTGGTGTCTCAACCAATTAACCTCCTATTCCTTCTATTCTTCTAGGATTGATTTTCTAGTCTGGGGCTTATCTGGTCCCTTGGGCCCCATTCCTCCTCGCCGCCTCTACCAGCAGTGGGCAAGAAGGGGAACAACAGTGCACTTCATTTTGCTAAATTTATAACTTGGACAGCAATTCTGAGAGGAAGTTGAAAGTAGATGAAGGATGCTTCTTGTGAATCTATAAATCCGAATCATTCACAAAAGAAAGTCAGGGGCCAGCTCTGCATATAGGAAAGTTCAACAAATATTAAGATTCCACAAACTCACCTTGTGCTTTAAATTCTTTAAATCGCTCCAAGTCATCCCGATACATTCGTTTAATCGTAGTTGCAGCCCTTTCCTGGATGTTAGGAATGAATTCTCGGAGCTGCTTCATGGCAGAATCCAAATCCACATCTGAATCACCTGAATCTCTCAAATCTTCATGTAAATATCTTGTTTCAGAATCTTTAGCTGATTCTAAATTGCTTTCTTCTTCATTTGTAGGTTCTAACCTAAGAGGGGAAATTGGGTTGACTAAAATTAACATGTTGTTTGATCTAATAATTTTTAAACTTTTTTAAAACAATGACTCATTTAGACTACTGGAGTGTTAAAGCTTGATGGGATCTTGGAGTTGATTTCAAACCCTTTATTAAACGTAACTTGATTTATTTGAGTATACTTCAGAGGCAGCCTAGAAGGTAAAGTGATTAAAAAAAATCCATGTTGGTCTGAGTGTACTGGTGTTTACAACTAATTGATCACAAGTAGTTACAGATTCCTTTGTTCCCTCTCCACTCCCACTGCTTCACTTGACCAGCCTTAAAAAAAATAAAAATTAAAATTAAAAAATAAAATAAAAATCCAGGCAGGCATGCCTGTAATCCAGCACATTGGGAGGCCGAGGCAGAAAGATCACCTGAAGCCAGGAGTTCCAGACCAGCCTGGGCAACATCACGTGACCCTGTCTCTACAAAATAAGTAAACAAACAAACAAACTAGCCAATTGTGATGGCATGCACCTGTAGTCCTAGCTATTCAGGAGGATCACTTGAGCCCAGGAGTTTGAGGTTGCAATGAGTTATGATCTTGCCACTACACTCTAGCCTGGGCAACAGAGAAAGATCCTGTCTCTTGAATAAGAGGAAGTGTCACCTTCCTCCTATCTATATGCATAGGGACAACAAAGGTAATTTGGGGGTCTTAAAATGGCTTTTAAACTCAGAGAATTTCAGGGATAGAACAGTCTTAGTGAGAATCTAACCGAACTGCCTTATTTTATATATGAAGAAATTAGGTCACTTGCCAAGCCTACACAACTAAGCATGTGGCTCATTCTGTACACATTGCAGTCTACCTCTTTGTGATTGTTGCCATTTACTATGTACATGCTAAATAAAGAGTACGTGAGTGGCATCCATGCAGAAAACACACGTCCCGCGTTACCTGGACGCCTCCTCCCCATGCTCGTCTCCGGAACAGGCCCGGCTCCTCTGCTCCCGCCGCTGCCCGAGTTTCTTTCCTCCTTTGAGCAAGGGGCCGTGGCTTTCCAGCGCATCACTCTGTGGGTTCTCAGAGTTCTGGCTGAGCGCAGAAACCCCATCAGCAGAGGCTACACCGCTTCCAACAGAAGCGCGCTTCTTCTTCCTCGCCTTTTCCCTGGCATCCCCAGGTGCCCCGAGCCCCATCAGGGCCGTGCCCACCTCTCTGGCCGCCTGTGGCCCTTCAGCGCACTCAGGTCTGGCCAGGGCCTCCAGCTCCTGCTTGTTGGACTTTCTCCTCTTTTTCTTGTTAGACTTGTTTTTCTTAGCAGATACCAGTGGTTCTGGAAGGCTGCCTTCCAGGCCCACAGAAGGCCAGGGCTCCTGCTGGTGCGGGTCCACCTGGGGCGAGGGCACGCTGGGGTGCTGGCTCTCCCATGGGGCGTCACAGGATGCACCTGTCCTCCTACGGTTCTTCTTCTTCTTCCGAACTTTACAGTGCGGTTCTTCTGATTCATTTTCATGTGACTTAGCAACTACCTGCAGTTTGTCCGCTGCAGGCTCTTTCGTTATCTCTCGTTCTATGCTCGTGTCAACACGAAGGGCACAGGCACCCTTTTTAGAATTCTTTCGCGTGTTCTCAGTATTTTCTTCATCCACAAAGACATATACAGCGCCTGTTTCCTCGTCTACTCCCAAAGCACTATGTCTTCTCCTTTTCTTCTTTCTGTGTGTACAAGTGGCCTTCTCAGTCTCATCGTGGATTTCTGATTTTTTCAAAGGAGAAGAAGTGAGCTGTTGGAAATCCTTTCTCTTCTTTTTACGCTTAGTTACGTGAGTCTGTTCACTTACCAGGGAGAAGTCTCTGAAACTTTCATGGGAACGTTTCTGATGTCTTTCCTTATGTACAGAATGCTTTTTCTTTTTCTTGTCAAAAATTGGAGTGTGGATTTCAAATCTGCTGGATTCTCCTTCCATTTTATTCCTGTAGGGAAATGTGACAACAATGGTTTATTTTTGCATTTTAAATATAGCCTCGGGGGGAGAAACATCACAGTGAAATGAAATTCCATGACAAATACTAGCCTGTGGTCAGGATTATAAATTTTCTATTATATTATTCAAAATATACAGAAGGCTCACTGTGATTCTCTCTGTCTGGTCCCACTGCTTTTATGATACAGAAAAGAGTATTAACAAAGAACGCCAGTGTCCTGCGCCATGAGGCCTCTGCCCCCTCACAGCCTCGCCTGTGACCTCACCTTTCCAACTCTGTGCTTCAGCCACACACGCCTTGTTTTGGTTCCTCAAACATGCCACGATCCCTCGCTTGGCTCTCCCTGGAATGTTCTCCACTGCCTTCCCACTCTCTCTGCTTCCTGCCTCCTGCCATCCTGCAGAACTTGGCTTGAAGATGGCTCCTTCAAGAAAACTTCCCGTGATCCCTTGGGCTTGGCCCATTCCCCAAATGATATGCTTTCATATTTAAAAAATAAATAATTATTTAGTCATTTCATGTCTAGCTCCTCCGCTTAAAAAAAAAAAAAGGAAGAAGGAAAGTGGTTCATCTGTCCTGTTCACCTCTGTGTTTCCACCATCTAGAAGCCATGACCCAGGACACCATGAAAGTGCAGGCTCCACAAGTGGGCTTCACAGTGGGGGCATCAGGTGGCCACTGACCTCAAACCGGAAAACTGCTTCTTCGGTTAGCTATGCCTTGTTAGCGTCCAATGAAGAGTGAAAATTCTACAATACACTGGAATAAATTTTCATAAGGATGTAATGCTAATACTTACATATAGGGCACATGCATTTGGGATTAAAATACAGTAACAGGGACACACTTTACAAAAGAGATGGTTAGAAATATAATTTTTCAGACAAGTCTTGTTCCTCTCCTTGCTCTGTATTGCTTCCAGGTTTCTAAATTTTTTAGATTTATCTTTGACTAAGTAATACATTAATATGATAAAAAAGCAAAATAACCTATTCATATTTCCTCTTGTTTCTTACACAGAAGCCTGCATCTATATATTCTGGTCTGTACTTGCAATTCAACAGCAGATCCTGGAGATCTCTCTGTATCAGTGGTCTTTCAAGCCTCAATGCTAAGCACATTTTCTACAGAAGGCACTTAATTTACCCTGGGTAGTAAATAGCAGCTATAAGAATTGTGTTACCTACAACCTCATACTCTCCCACACATTAGACAAGAGATGTTAACCCTCAAAGCTAAGACACCTGCCCGCATCCTCTCTCTCCCTCTTGCTGCAACAAAGGAAGTGTCCCTGCTCCTGTCAAAAGCCATTTCCGGCCGGGCGCTGTGGCTCACGCCTGTAATCCTAGCTCTTGGGAGGCCGAGGCGGGCAGATTGCTCAAGGTCAGGAGTTCAAAACCAGCCTGAGCAAGAGCGAGACCCCGTCTCTACTATAAATAGAAAGAAATTAATTGGCCAACTGATATATATATAAAATTAGCCGGGCATGGTGGCGCATGCCTGTAGTCCCAGCTACTCGGGAGGCTGAGGCAGGGGGATCATTGAGCCCAGGAGTTTGAGGTTGCTGTGAGCTAGGCTGACGCCATGGCACTCACTCTAGCCTGGACAACAAAGCCAGACTCTGTCTAAAAAAAAAAAAAAAAAAAAAGCCATTTCCTTCAATGTGTATGCTGGATCCCAGCCCCCTCCTGCCTTCTCAGAGAGACTGTGATCCACTAGGTACCCCACCTCTCTTCTGGCCTCTCCCTCTGTACTGGCTCCCTTCTAGCAACACTCCAACAGCCTTTAATATTTTCTTCTTCTTTTAAAAAACAGGGTCTTGCTCTGTCATCCAGGCTGGAGTGCAGTGGCATGCTCACAGCTCACTGTAGCCCCAAACTCCTGGGCTCAAGCAATCCTCCAGCCTCCTCCTGAGTAAGCTAGGACTATAGGCATGAGTCACGATACCTGGCTAATTTTTTTTTTTTTGGTAGAGACAAGGTTTGGGGCTCTTGCTATGTTGTCCAGGCTGGCCTGGAACTCTTGGCCTCAAGCAATCTCTTGGCTTCCCAAAGTGCTTTGATCACAGGTGTGAGCCACCATGCCCACTCTTTAATCTCTTCTAATTAAAAAAAATGCAACCACCCTCTAACCCTAAAGTTCCATCCAGCTATCCTCTTTCCTCTCTTCACAGCAACATTTCTTGGTAGAGAAATAGCATTTTCCATTTCTTCCTTTTCCATCCACTTCTTAACCCATATCCACCCTACTGTCCCACTGAGACTGCTCCAGTAAGAGTGTCTATGACCTTCAAGCCACTAAACTCAATAGGCACTTGTCATGCCCATCTCTCAGGACCTGCCAATAACAACAAACTGAGCAGACGATTCCTATAAACAATCTTTTACAATCCATCAGTTCCTTTCTTCTCTGGAAATCACCTCTTAAGCTCCTCCCTCTGGTCTCCTACAACCTTCTAAATATGTAGTCACTCCGTGCTAAAACCTTTTTATGGTTTCCCCCTTATTCTTAAGATAAAGTCAAAATCCTTACAGACATACAAGGCTGTTCATTTCTTCACGGTCTAGTCTGGTCCATGCCTAACCTCTCATTTCTCTCTGGGTTTCAGACACCCTGTCTTCTTTCATTTCCTAGAATCCACTATATTCCTTTTCATCCCAGGGACTTTGCAAAAGCAGCTCCTTGGACCAGGAACACTCTTCCCCCGCATTACCTTTCTGCCCTTTAACTGAGCTAAGTATGAAAGTCACTTTCTCAAGAGGGCCTCTTTCATTTCTTAACTGGGTCCCACCTTCCTGTTAAACAGTGTTTCCCAACAACCCAGCTGCTTCCCTCTCGCACTTTTCGCTGCTGTGATTATCACGGTCCTCTCAGTTTGGATCTTACCCGCCTTGCTCCTCTACGGTTCCCCAGCGAGTGGGCGTGCATTCAGCCACACTGCCTGGGCGCACACACTTCCCGCCCGCGGGGCACGCGCCCCAGCCCGCCCCGATCCTCTCGCCGCCCTCGGGGCGCGACACAGACCCTGCTCTGCTCTGGGGTGGGTGCCCCGGAGCTGACAGGGAGGGAACTAGCCAGATCCTCTTATTCCCAAAGACCCCAGGCTCAGGCCCCCTGACAGGAGGCCGGGGGCGGCAGCCAAGGCAGAGGCGCCGACCTCAGGCCAAAGGCAGAGCTCCCGCTCGATTTTTATATGCGGATTAAAAACAAACAAACAAAAACAAACAAACAAACAGGAACAGCCAACAAACGCGCTTTTAACCCACCTTCCGAAACCGTCGCCACCTAAATCTTCCAACCCGGAAGTGCTGCTGTTATGGAAGCGGAAGTAGTCACGCGTCACTTCCGGCCCCCTCGGCATCACGCTGCCATAGCAACACAGCTGCCTCTCGGACCCTATCGCAGGCATAATTAATTGCCTGCCCATTTTGTTCCTGTGGTCTTTGGGGGTGGCGTGGGGCAGAGCGTGTGGCGTGCTAATTCATGCATGCATTCCATTTATTACGTTTTTCTGAGCTCCATCTATGGTCCAGGAGTGAACATCCTGGGAAGACGGATAAACAAATAATCCAAGATAATTTCAGACTATCCTATAAGGAAAATAGGGTAATGCGATGGAGAGTGACTGGGGACAGTGGGTGCTACTTCAGATGGAAGGGAAGGCTCTTTGAGGAGTGACCTTTGAACTGAGGGCTAAATGAAAAGGGCAAGCAAAAATGTAGGCACAAGAGTGTTTCAGGCTGCAAGCAAGTGCAGGAGCCCTGCACTTGGTTGCCGGAGGAACTGAAAGAATGGCAGAGCTGGAGCACCGTGCATGAAGGGAGAGTGGTGGGAGATGAAGTCAAAGGCAGGCAGAGGCTAACTGGTGCAGAGTCTGATGGACATGAAGCTTGGATGAAGTCTTGAAAGGTTAGAGCTAGAAGGAGCCTCGGAGATCTATCCCAATCCTCCCATTTCAACAGTCCTGAAGAGATTTAGCTTATGATTAAAAGTGAAGTTTTAACAAGACCATCAGGCTGAGGCCATTATATCTACTACCCAAACTTTTAGACTTTTTGGATAATAAACATAATCATGCAGGCAACAAGTTTTCTCATTTAATCCTGTAATAACCCACCTTATATTTTAGGGGTATCTTTATGAGATACTATTAGCCCAACCTGTGGATTAAAAACTGGGGTCTGTGGTAACTTGTCCAAGGTGACTTAAATGGTCCAGCCAGAATTCAAACCTGTGCTCTTTCCACTACTCTGATATCCTGCCTCTCACTACACAACTCTGACATCCTCTGTGTAAGCTGCTAAGTGGCTTTTATTTATTTATTTCCAGAGATAGGATCTTGCTTTGTCACCCTGGCTGGAGTGCAGTGGCATGGTCATAGCTCACTGCAGCCTAAAACTCCTGGGCTCCAGTGATCCTCCTGCCTCAGCCTCCCGAGTAGCTGGGACTACAAGCATGAGCCACCACACCCAGCCCTCAACTGGCTTTGTTTTAAAAGTGCTCAACCTATACTTCTGTGAAAGTCTGAAAGGGAAACAGTGAATGGACATATGCACATGCTTTGCCATACAAGGGCTGTTCCAGGCCTCGGATGAGCAATTTGAACTCTGGTTTGCTCTGTAAAGGTGGTGTTGGTATTGTCCACTGTCGATATGTAAGGCCTTGAGGTCCAGGTTTGTCATCAGTATAACTTGTTCTATAGTGAACTCCCTTACCTAGAGCCTTGTGCAAGAGGATATTTTCATGTTTAATGAAAATGATAGTGATGCATGCATGAACCCATAGAAGGCTGGAACTAGATGAGAGATTAGAGATCATCATTCCAAAAACACTGCACCGGTCACTGGGAAGATTTTTTTTAAATGCACATTTTTAACTTTGCATATGGATTGAATATTATACACTATGGTTATATCACATTAAAATCATTCGGCATGATAATGACATTGTAGTTATGCATGACAATGAGTTATGCGTGAGAATGTCCTTGATACATGCTGAGTACTAGGGTTAAATATGGTATGTTTACAGATATTTTCAAATGATTCTGTAGTGTGTGTGTACATGCTCATAAACTCACAGAGAGAAAGCAGATACAGCAAGTGCTAAGGACTGGTGAATCCAGGTGAATGGGTTTCATCATACCATTCTTTCAACTTTTCTGTGGGTTTGAACTTTTTCAAAATAAAAAGGTTGGTGGCGAAGAGGGTGGTAAGCAGACTGAAAGAAACGCAGAGTCCCAGATGCCATTTCCAGATATTCTGATTCAGAGAGTCTAGGCGTGGGTCCTGTGAATCTGTGTTTTTCAATTTCCCTCCATTCCGTTGCACAAAGTTGAGTACCATTGATCTAATCCAACGCTAGACTTTCCTCCCCACCCATCTCACAGAAAAATACCCCAGGACCCAAAGGTGTCTAGCTCCAGACCACCCAGTGGATTGGCAACAATGTCAGGCTTGGAATGGGGATTTCTATGTCATCATGAAGAATTTAGCCCTAAGTCAGAAATGCATGTTAAGGGAGCCCAGGGAGCAGAGTGGGGAGGGCCTACGAGCGGAGTAGGGCGGGTGGAAGGAAGGTGTCTTTGACTTGGAAGTCAAGTATCAATGTTCCTCTTAGAGCCCCGTCACTTGGAACACAACCCAGTGGCGATTCCCTACGTGGATTCAAGAAAACTCCACACAGGCCCACATTGGCGGCCACCAACAGTTTCACGAAAGAAAAGGGACAAGCCTGGCCCGGCGCTGTTGGCGTCCCGTCGCCAAGGAGACGGACCGTTCCATTCTTTCTCGGGGGGTGCTCTTGATTTTGCTCCTCTCCCAGTCCGCGGCGCGGAGCCCGGAAGACGCCCGGGGGACCCAGCCGGGCTAACGCACGCCAGCTCGGGGGCTCCGCGCCGCGAGGGAGCGTCGCGAGGTGGGCGCGCCCTGCCCCGGGGGGCCCGGCCCCGGCGCCCACCCCTGGTTCGCGGTGGTGCGGCCCGGCGCGCGGCGGGGCTCGGAACTCCTCGCCGGCCCGACGTGCGGAGGCGGCCGGCCCGCCCGCAGGCTCCGCGGCGACCCCAGGATGCCGGAGGCCAGGAGCTCCGGCCAGGACCTCATGCGATGGAAGAAGAAGCAGCCGGTGCGCCGCTCGGTCAGCCAGATCTCCCCGCCCCCGCGGCGGCCCCTCACCCTGGCCGACATCCGGCCCGGCATGGAGAACGAGAGGCTGGGCGTCGTGCGGGACTCCATGTTTCAGAACCCGCTCATCGTCAAGGTGAGCGGCCCGCGCGCCCGCATGCCCGGCGTCCCTCCCCGCCCGGCCTCCCCGCCCGGCCTCCCCGCCCGGCCCGCGTTGGAAGCTCCGGCTCCGGTGCACACCGGGCCCGGACCCCGGTGCGGTCATGGTCAGGTCGCGTCGCCTCTCTGAGCCTCAGTTTCCTCATCCTCGAAGTGGTCGTGATAATGGCACCTATCGAAGGGACGGGCTGGGAGGATCGAACGGGGTAGTTTCTGCGGGACCCGGGCACGGCGCCCGACACGCAGGAAGCCTCAGTGCTGGCTGCCGTGGGTTCCCGCGCTGGAACCCGCAGGGGCACGGGTCGCACGCAGCCAGCCCGCGTCCTCACCGCCAGCCCTGGCGGGGCGAAGGCCGCCTCTGCCCCTGCCCCGCGCGCCGGAGCCACTGGCATGCAGCAGGTGCTCGGCGTGTCTCCTGGGAGTCTCTTTCCGCCCGCCCGCCCGCCCGATCGCACTCTGTTTACGCTACTTACTCACATCGCAGCCCCAAGAGAAGAAAGGGGCAAGCCCCTGGCGGGGGAGGCCCCGCGGCCATGAGCGACGGAGCCGCGTTTCTGGCCAGGTCACCTTCGCTCTTACCGCGCACGCGCTCCCTCACCTGAGTCCCGTCCGCGCGGCGGGAAACCCAGGGCTGGCTGGCACCGCGACGCCTCGCCCGCCCGGGGCCACCGGAGCGTCGAGCCCAGCCGGGCGGTCGGGGAGCGGGCCCTGCAGCAAGTTCACCTGGCGCCGCTGGAGGGCAGTGCGCTCCTAAAAATGCGCTCGGTTCCCAGGTGCCGGAGGTGGGCGGCGCAGGAGGCAGCCAGGGTTCCCGCGACAGTTGTTTCTGTGACCGCCAGCCGCTGGTGGGAGCCCAGAGCGGGGGATGGTGGTTTGCTTTTGTTTTCTGGTAGAGAGCACCTGGACTTTCGTAACACTGTGCTAGAATCGGCTCAGTTCATTGGCTCCTGGGCAGACATTGACTCTTTCCTCTTGCCTTCCCCAAACTGTGTTCCTGCAGAGGAGGGAGGTACTGCCAGGCAGCGGGCTGCACCTGGGCAAAGTTGGCTGGTCACCCTCGGCACCGTCCACCTAATATGCCTCTCCCTTGGGCCCCACAAAGTGGAACCAGGTCTTTGACTGACTTCTAGGTGAGAAGAGCCACTCTCAGCGGACAGATGGGACAGACAGTTGGGGTTCGCTATTCTGGGATCGAGAAGAGAATTAGGTCCACCCCCTCTGACTAGCTGCATTAAGGTTAGGTCATTGCTTTTGCTCAAGTAGTTACTAGCGGGCCAGCTTCTCCCTACTTAAATATAAAGTGATGGCACTGTGGAGTTATCCGCTGTAGTGAGTTAGCGTGTGATGTCCACCCTAAATGACGTGTATATATAGAATATGTATGGATATATGCACATGTACATGTATATGCTTATAGTGCGTATATTATACATACACATAGATTTTATATCTCTCAAGTACATATGTGTATACATACAGTATATGTTCATACATGTGTCAAATGAAATGCATGTACATATATATGTGTGTTCCCTCCCTCCTTTTCTTTTTCCTTTTGCTCCCCACCCTATATCAAGAAGGACAACATGTTGCCTCTGGGTGGCACCAGCTGAACAGCTTCCAGTATGAATTCAACCCCTGATTCCTAAACCCAAGTTCAGAGTTGGAAAATACACAGGAGATGACTGACACACGACTGGGGTTCTGTCCTCTGCCAGTGAGATGCACAGCAGGCCTGCCCTGGGCCCAGGTGACTGCGAGCATCAGGACCTGCCTCAGGCACTGTGCGGAGATGGAGCTGGGGGTTCACCTCGGTCAGGATCAGCCAGGGGGCAGCCTTTCCCTCTGACTTGCCTTTTTGGTTCTCCAAGGGCCATAAGGTGCTTTCCGTAGCAGTTAAGATTATGTCCACATTTCAATATTTACCACCTCCTATAAGACTAAAAAATCTTAAGATTTTATAGGTCAAAACCTGACCTAAATAAAAGTTGGCAGAGAAATTGAGCATGGGAAGGAACCGTGACTGTTCCCTTTTCCAGAGCCCCCTGTGCAAATGAGTACACTGAGGCCGTTTTTGCTCCAGGTCCTGGCCGAGCCTGGGTTAGCAGCTACATCCACGGACTCCCAGCCCAGCATCATTTTCAGCACTCCAAACAGCTTTCTATATTTTAAAAAAAAATTTAAGTTATGAAAAATCATAGGGGTTTTTGGTTTTAAAGAAAAGGAAAAAATTGAAAGTATTTAAGATTGGGGAGCCTTACAAATTTTTTTAATGTTACAGAAATTTCTATTGAGCTTGGTTTGTGGATTTCTTCCTTGCGGCATATCAGATCTTCAGACCCTGGGTTGGCGTGTGCCTCCTCATTGCGTGTGGCAGAGCTTGGGAGTGCCCTCTGCCTGGGGTGTCTGTAGGAGGGTGATTGGAACCGAAGCATATTTTGGTTTTGTCTAAGCCTGAACCTGAGGTGTGCATCTATACTGGAAGAATATAGCGCCTTAGAAATAGTTATTTATTCCACCCTGTTGGGGGGTTGTTGCTCAGATTGTTTTCTCGAGTGAATAGCATCAGCATTTTTTCATTTAAAATGCAGAGACACTGACTGAACAAACCCGACACTGGTATTTCGCACCTATGGAATTTACCAGGACGTAGACACATCAGTAATTCAGGAACATGTCTGCAAGATGCCACAGTAACCAAGTGAAAAGGGAAAAACACAGACATCCAAGCAGGTATTTTATCTACAAATGCACAACAACTATTTGCCTCATTTAAAACCAAACCAACTGCTTATTTAATGGGGACGATTGAATCAAGTCGGCGTTTCACGAGGCCACAAAAACATGTAAATATTTTCCAACGGAAAGAGCTTCTACTCTTGTACAAAGTGATGTGTAGGTAGCCAGTTTTCCTTCAAATGTGACTCTCTGGAAAGAATAAAATTAAATAGAAAAGAACCAAGCTTCTTCCCCAGAATTCTGTGACTCAACACAGAATCCTGCTACAATAGCCTTCAAGGCTCCTTCACAAAACCTGTCAGGGGTGCAGCTTCCTGCCATCGGAACTCAGCTGATAACCTGTCAATACAATTATAGGGAGAGACTGCTTGGCTTGCTCCTCTGACAACCTCGAGTCTTCTGCCGCCCTGGAGAGGCAGCCTGTGTACGGGGGGTGCAATTTATGGATTTGAGCACCCTTAGAAAGTGCAAATGATCATGGCACCCGATTTTTTCCATAATTTATTTTGACTTTGTTTTTCTGTGGGGCTTTATGTCACAAATAAGAAGTACATGCATTTGTAAAATAGAGTCATAGAATCACAGCATTTGGGACTGGAAGGAAGCTTACAGACAGCTAGCCCAACCCCTCTTTTGAGGGTATGAAGGCCCTACGAGTGGAAGAGACCTGCCCGAGGTGCTGCCCTGAGCTGGTGGCAGAAGAGGGATGAGACTCAGGTCTCCTGACTTCCAGCCCCATGCTCTTTTGGCCACAACACACAATTAATTAACCACGTGATAGCCCAGACTGGTTATATTCTCTATAGCAGGCAGTCAAAAAGGGTTCACAAATGAACCTGATTCTAGTATCATTTCACTCAATGTTCCATCCAAAGTGAGCTCTATTGACTTCTCAGGACTTGTCAATAGCCAAGACATATTTATTGAATGTTTACTAAATGCCTAACACCGTCCTAAGCTTCCTTGGGGGCATAGAAACAAGTTTAGAACTCAGCACTTTCTGAATTTCACAAGGAGTTAACTATTTAATATTTAGCTGCAGAGATGGGAGATATATATATATATATAGCTAAGCACAGCAACTGCCTTAAAGAAAGCTCTCAGGGAATTTAGCTCTTATTGTTACATACACACATACACACACAAACACTCACAAATAATAAGGCAGGCATTGTCATGGGTCACCCCATAAGTCCTTAAGTGAGCTGCTTTGCCCAGAAGGGTTCAGATTTACAGGAAGGGAGCCCTGGGCAGGACTTAGGGGGACCTGGAACTGGACCTTGAAGGGTGACAAAGCAGATTCAGATGAGGGGTGAGGAGAATGGGGGAAAAACCAGCCCTTTGGGGCTGTATGATTCCACCTTCCTCAGATCCTAAGTGTTTGTAGGTTTCCACCCCAACTTGAGTCCCGGTTTATGAGACTCAGCGCCACTGCTGGGATCATTATCATTATCATCATGAGGAAGCATTTATTTAGAGCCAGCGTGTTCAAACTGGATGCTCTACAAAATTAGGCAACCACACCATGCCCACTAATAGCTTAACGTCGCTAATAAATACTGAAGCCGTGAACATCAGTGCGCAGACAGAGACAAACACAAGGCAGGCAGGCAGACAGAAACGCAGTTATACAAATATCCCCACGTGGGTCAGCATTTTGATTACATTTGAGTACCGTGCAAAAATGGTACATGCAGCTCTATTGTTGAAGGGAATATACCCCTGATTGCTCAAATCCTTTTACATTCAATTACAATATAATAGGAGAAAATAAAACATTAGGCAGGGATTAAAAAATGAGCTGCCCATCCTAATGGCCCAGTCTTGGCTGCCCAGTGGGTAGGTTTCGTTTTTTCCAGGGAGCGCCGAGGGTTTATCTATCCTTGCAACTCTCTCTCTTGGTCCCTTTTTTTCCTTTTCTCTTTAAATCAAAGCTTCCCCCTTCCTGGCGCCCAGTCACTTCCTTCAGTGAGCGGGGCTGGAGCAGTGAACTAATCCCCTGTCCAGCCCTGTGGCTGTTCCCGCCACCGCCACCAGCTTTTCGCCACACTGGGGCAGCCGCTTGCTTGTGCTCCGGAGCAGCACGCCTTCCTCTTTGTCCCCTGAAGAAGGTGTGCTCTGGCTGTGAAGTATTAATGCAGCTCAGATGTCAGAATTTGGCTTCCCCCTATTGCACTCAGCCACCGCAGCTTACGTGGTTCTCAGAATACTGCGGTGGCAGGTGGCGCGGCGGGAAGG